TCTCCGGCACATTTTGAATGAGGGAGGCGTGTACATTTGACGCATTCGACCCACCAAAGCAGTTAAAGCAGCAGGCACGTGAACCCATTGAACGATCGGGATGATCCTTGCGGTGGCCGCGGGCGCGGGCGAAGAAAGATGTGGGGAAAAGGGAAGTAGGGGGGGGGGTGTCTCCACCTCCCGCCACCGGGGCGCCGCGCCCGCGCGCCCGCGGCCCGTGGCAGTGCTCGCCGCGCGCTGACGCCGCGCTGAGGAGCGGAGCTGAGCGGAGCGCACAGCCGTGTAGCGCTAGCGCTGCCGCAGTCCCGCGATCGCGCGATTATATTCAGACTCGGCTCTTCTTTTTAGTATTATTTTTTTTCGCGGGTCGCTTTTTATTTTCTGCCGACGTCGTTGATGCCGCGCCGACTTGTAGCCGCCAACTATTTTTCCAATGATGTTTCGCTTTCCGTGTCGCGAATAGCCGCAGAGAGACCCGCTCGCTCGACCGCTCCTTCTGAACGAAACGCGCGCGCGCCGCCGGGCCGACCGAAACGCAACGGAGACGCGACGCGCGACAGTCGAAGTCGAACCGGTGACGAACCGACCGAGTGTGTTGTGCGTGGGTGTAGGTGAGTGATTGTGTGTGTGCGGATGCGTGTAAGTGTAGCAGCGGGCAGTAGTGTTGGTGCGAGGCCCCGGGGGCGTTGGTGGCGACACGTCAAGTGACCGCCTCCCGGGTAGCAGTGTCGGCGCCGATTACTAATACAGCATGTGACTTGCCGCAACAGAAATTGGTGTCAAACGTAGCACCCTATCTGTGAGGTACGAGAACAAGAATAAGGTCCTGCTCGACGGGGCACACAACACACTGCACACCGCAGGCAGTGGTCCCGCCCCGCCCACCACCGGCGACGCCCGCTCCGGCGCCCCGCCCCTCAACTGGATACACGTGCGAACGGGGATGTCAAACACCTGAGCACGCGAGGATAGGCCGTTGTGCCCCGCAGCCGCCGGGATGGCCGACGTGGAGACCTTTGTCCAGGAGGAGCCCGAGTGTAAGTAGCGGTGTGCTGAACTTATGTAACGTCTGTGTGTGCGTCTCTCTCATTTGCTTCGTTCGTATGTGTGCGTGTGTGTGTGAGAGAGAGAGACAGAGACAGGGACAGACAGATAGACAGACAGACAAACAGACAGACAGACAGACATACAGACATACAGACAGACAGACAGACAGACAGACAGAAGCGTCGAATGACAGGTGGTCAAGGCATTCAGCTTCAGCTTTAGTATAGTAGGAAATTGCATGGGAAATGTTTGGTTGGCTCGAGCATTTACAGGATCCGATAATAGTTCACGTAAATGCAGTAACACCAGAAGGGGACACGAGGGGGGGGGGACGAGTACCTTATATTTTTTATCGACTGAACGACGCGCGCGCTCGGAGACGGTGCGGATGGGAAAAAAATGCTCAAAATTGGCGCGCATAACTACATGGTCTTGGCGTCACGTCAGGTGACGTCACGTCAAGGCGGTCTGGTCCCATTATTTGCAGTAGACGAAACTAAAAGGCTGCTTCGGGCTCGTGCGTTGTGCGTCCTGCTCCCTCTCGACGCTCTCCTTCCGTGACAACACGCGGGCGACCAACTAAAGTTGGGTTGGACCCCGACGTTCTTGACCTTGCCGCCGCGTGCGTCGGCGTCCGTCGGACCTGACCTGCGCGAATGTGGTGGGGAGGAGAGGTGAGGGGTCGGGAACTGCGTTCGGAGAGAGCACGCGAGGTTTGCGCAGAACAACAAAACTCTGGCATTTTTAGACAGTCCCCTAAAGACTGTCTACTGTCTCTATCAGAAGGAAAAGTCCCCCCCCCCTCCCTCTTCATATTTGAAATAGACGCTCCGGGAAAACCTGGATTTAGAGGATTTGTATTGCTCTACCTAAAATGCATAGAAAAGTCAAAATGCTATTCGGGTTCGCTTTAGTAGTAGCTAGAAATGCTGCATGTGGAAGGGCTGGAGGGGCTGGAGTCTGAGCAGAGCCACTCTCCGACCGCACCCAGAGCGGCTGATGGCTGATACTGAATGCCACACTTGTGCGTGAGAATAAACCGAGGACTCTTATGTATTTCTTTCCGGTCCACAAGTCCTCTGGCGGGGTGTGTTGGCCTCAACAGCCGGAAGCCCCGCCCCGCCCCGCTACGTTCACGTTCCTTAGCGCGTGCGCGTGCATAGCTAATGCCTTCAGATGTGATAACCGTTGCGGAGGGTAGAAATGAGGAGGACGGAAAGCATATCGACTGCTTCACTGAGGGACGACGTAGGATGTCCCACTCCCATATGCCCTGTGCTTCTTTTGGGTTATACACTGGATAAACAAAGAAAGAAATCAACACCCTAATGACTTTCACGCCGTGACAGAGGCTCTTTAGAAGATTCGCACTCCTTTATTGGATTTGGGAAAGTATTCACTACTAGCCTCAGGGCTGTCGTAAAAATAATAGACTAATTCGCACCGTCCAATAACTAAACATACGAAATCCGTGGTCCCCGTAGACTGGTGCCTCTTTAAGATACAGTTGTAAGGAACTTTGGCAAAGGCGACCGACGGGCGGAGGGCGGGGCAAGGGGCAGGTGGGGCAAGGCTGTGGCAGTGTACAGTCACACCGCACCGCACCAGCCAGCGGCGGCAAGCCAGCGGCAAGCCAGCGGCACGGCACGAGCAGCTCAGCAGCGCCCGTCTCGGACCGCGGGCGGGCGGGATGTGTGTCTCGGCAAACACACGCCGAGGGGCTCGAGCCGTTAACACTGCCGACATTCGTTTCTTTTGCGTGCTTATGCTCATTATTCTTTCATCCACCATTGATCAAAAGTAGCAAAGAAGTATTCAAATAAGCAAACAATTCGTTGATCGTTGCTGTCTGGCGTCGTTGTCCTGTGTGCTATACTTTCATTTTCACAAAGCAACCCATGCCCCTCTTCATCGTGGCAGTGTTGTATTCGAAATGCTAATGAGATGGTGTGACGGCAGACCGGCGGTAGACATCCTGAAAGAAGGTCCGTCATTCGCCGATACGCCGAACTTGCAAGTTCTGTGGACGCCTGATGGGTAGGCAACATCTCGTCTGCATTGCATGCGAGTACAGCGGAGTGGCCTACCCTGAGTCTCGCAGGCGCCGAGCTCCCGTAGCTGACCAAATGAACCTGAAGAAAAAAAACGGGCGTACTTTCCTGACAATCACACATTATGTCATATGCTATGTTTTATAAAACAGCTTGTATATATAAATAAAAACGGTATCTTCCATATTCCACACCTCATCCTCGATCTCCTCAGTGAGAAGTTCAGAATTAAATCGCGGCCCCTTTGTAAAACTCTGTATGTAAACAGACGGAAGAAAAACCTCGAGCTACAAATACAACAAAACACTGCAAATAGATTATAGGTGTCAATCGCCATTCACTAGACCAGAACGTTTGAATGAGGAAGTGTCTCGAGATCGATAAGATTCATCCGTGCAAAAATGTTCCCCACTGTTCAAACTACGTATGGTCTCACCACTTCCGCTGAGCCTTCGCAGGGCGTATCGGTTTGCTCCATGAGGTTGTCACAGGCAGGGGTCTCCTAAACTCTTCCTCCCTCAGGTGGCGGATGGATCGGGGGGAAAGGGGGGGGGGCTAAACCAACAGCCATATCTCAATTTCACCGATAAGGATATGGATACTCTCCGATAAAAAGCTTCGCCTGCACTGTCCAATCAGAGAAGCTCCTGCTGTCGAACGCGACCAGAGGCAAAGGCAGATACAGGTGGGTTGCAGGGGGAGGGGGTGGGGTCGGTGTGGGGGTAGAAAGGGGAGGAAGAGGATACTTTTCCCCTACCTTTCAGAGGAACCTCTTCTCCATGGCATTCTATTCCCTGCCCCCCCCCCTTTCTTCCTCTGTTCCGTGAGTTGAGGGGCCAGTAACAAATAAACACGTGTTTTACTATTTTTCAAAATAACGCGCGCTGCTCGCACATTCATCGGACGAACAGCGCTGCCGGCGACCTGACGTTATGATGGCTTCTTTCGGGCCTCATCCTCGTAGTCAGCGGAGCTCCCCTCCCCATTCGTCTGTGCATGTGCTTTTTTACTGCACGGTCATCAGTTGGCAGCGCACATCAGGGCTCGCATTACAGGTGGCTGCCAGCCCCCCCCCTCCCTCCCCTAGCCAAAGTCTTGCAACTGTAGCGGCATTGCGTTTTCTTGTGGCCCTCCCTCCATATCGTTCCCGGGCGGGCGGGCCCGTCTCTATGAGCGAAGGTCCATCACTTTGGGCGATAACTAACCGCGCTGCTTTCTTCGCGGCCGCATACTAATGGGCGGATGTGCAGCCTCGGCCAAAGCTTCGGCCCCCCGCGGCGGCACGGGCGGCACGCGGCCCCGCGTCACCTTGCTTGTCGCGTGTTCTGGGGTGTGGGGTCCAGTCCAGCGGTCTCCAGCGGGCTCCAGCGGGTGGGGCTATGGAGCCGACAAGGGACTACCGAGAGCCTCGCTGAAGGGGCTTGGGGGGCTGCTCCGCGCGCACCGCAGTGTGCGAAGCGGTGCCGTTCGGAACTAACTCCTTATTCGGCCTTCGCTGTTTTTACGTCCAACGTATACAGTGTCCTCCACCGCGCAGCCTTGTGCTGTGCTGTTGGTTCTGTGGAGCAGTCACAGTCGTGGGTACAAGCTCTGCGCGAAGTCCATCCGGACCGACGAGGACAGCAGGACAGCTGCCCTGCCTCCCAAATCTGTCGAGCATGTATACTGGGTACACTACACGGCACTGCACTACACGGCGGCTGACAGACGGGCGGGCATTCCTTCGACACTCCGTACTAATGGGAGGGGCTGTGAAGGGCTCCCCCCGCGCGGACGACTCACGGCCACTGCATGTCACGGTGCCGCTGCATTTCGGGACTGGCGTCCAACAGACCACACTGCCAGTAATACGCAAAGAGGGAAAATCAACAGCCCTCCCGCATGCCGGCTTATGTGTTAGTAACTGCCGCTATATTGCAACAATAGTATGAATCAGTATTATTCAGTCGTTTATACTGCCATGCCTTTTATTGCTGTACGACGCCACGTCGTAGTTGATCAACAGAAATAGAATGTTTGTTCGAAATGACCACCAAAAATGTAGTTGTTTTGGAGGCTTCATTGCTATGTGTACAACATTGTATCATGAAGAGAATATGAATTGTGAAATACACTTCCCTTGTAGTACCAGTACCAAACATTCCAAGAACATTCCCAGAACGTTATTTAGGTTTCGTGAACGTTCAGCGATATTTTTTGAACGATTCGTGCCACCAGGGTAGGGCTAAGAGAGGTTCAAAGTACTGTCTAGAAAAAATGGGAGGGGGGGACGGGGGAAGTGTACAGACCAGCAGCGCCAGTGGTGTTTTTGACTCAATTAAGAAATGACAGATGTCCCGTAATCACGATGCCGATTGAATGAGGACCGCCTTAGGTCGAATGGAATAAGAAGTCTCCCACTCCACTACGACACAGACATGCCAGTTGAAGGACAGTTTAAATGGAGGAGAGACGACTCAGTTCGCTGACGCCCGGAGCGTATGCAACCATTCCTACGCTTATGACATTGTGGTAACGCAGCAACGGGGGATTCCGAGTGAGTGCGTGCGTGTCAGAGGAGAAAAACAGATGCGTAGGAACAGGGGGGCAGGGGATGTAGTCCCCCCCCCTGAGCACCTCGAAGGGACGCCAAAACGCGCCCCGGATAGGCGCCAGAATTCGCCCTGTGAACAGTGCTTAAAACTCAAGGAAATTAGGCGGGAAAGTGTCTTGAAATAAGGGAAAAATGGAAATGGAAATGAAACCATGTGTTTGGGACAACCATGATAGATATTATGCAGGTATAGGCAGATATTAGGCAGTCGGCGTAAAGAGGCGCCAAAAAGGGTCTGATGGGCCGTACCCCCTGGCCAAAAAGCCTACGCCCCTGGAGAAAAATAAGTATACACAACAGGGCCAAGGGCTCCCCGCCAGTTTGTTCGCCTTCTGGTGCCGATCTCAGGTACTATCCCCAAAATATTCATGTTCTTTCTTCAATGAAAATGTAAACGAAACACTAAAATTTTGGGGAATGTATCAGAGATTTGCACCAGAAGTCGAAAGATTGGGGGAAGATCACCGACCACCCTCTATAGTTACTGTACCGACGTTTTTAAAGTGTAATAAAGTTACGAACCTGCTAAGTTTGGTCTGTGATAACCTACAAAGCGCCTTGTAGGTAGGCAACATCTTACCTGCCGTGCATGCCTGTATTGCGGGGCGGCCTACCCTGAGTTTCGCAGGCGCTGAGCTCTGGTGCTCTGGTGCCTGAATCAAAGAAAACCGGACGTACTTTCTGGGTGACCCCCGAGGCGACCCACCTTTACAAAACTCATGGTGCCCTACGGCCCAGATCGAAATAGGCAACTTGCCAACACGCTTGCGCTGTGCAGGATAACTTTTAATAAAAAGTACTGAGCCGGTGGGGGTGGGGTGGGACACCGTTTGTGTGCACTCCGTCCGTCCCCATCCCTCTTCCCTCGTGACTGGTATTAATTAGCTGAGCTTCAACACAATAGGCATGTGCTTGCATGGGATGCGCGGAGTCAAAGGGCAAGCCGCACAGCGCCTTCACGACTGGCCTCAGGGTGCGGCTGAAGCCGGTGTGCATGGATGTACCAGTAGGCCGCCAGCTTCAGGATAGCCTGCCAATTTTAATACAAGTACCTTGGCTTACTCGGGGTTTCACGCAACTCTTTAAACGACCTCTAACAACACATGGCCAAAACCTCGAGTCTGTAAGTTGCGATCGATATCTCTGTTAAAAATGACATCACCCACGCCAAAGTTTCGTCATGGGAATTTCCACCCTTACGCGAAGAGGGGCGAGAAGGGAGGATGGGGTCAAAGGCTTTTAGCCGAAACCATGCAGCGCCCCAGCCCCCTCCCCCCTCCGCCCTCCGCTCCGACCCGCGCCCGCGCCCTCGCGGGCCACCGCGGCCACTCTATGGGCTGGACCGCCGCGGAGGGCGCGGGGAGCCGAGCGCAGCGGCGCCGGCCGCGTCGTCCTCTCGCGCCTCTGCGGCTCCAGTCAGTCCCCGCCGAGTGTTGCACCGCTGCACTGTGCTCCGCGCTCCAGGCGCGCCGGAGCCGAGCACCGCGAAACACGACTCCGCGGACGAGCACGACGAGCACCCAGTGGGTGCCGCCGACGCGACGCGACGGGCGACGTTGAGGTCACCGACGACGCCGATTAGCGACGTGCCTAACGGGCGCGGTGACGGCTTTTCTTCCGAGAAAGACGAGCCTCCCGAGCGCGCTCCACGCGACCACGCGTGGTTACCGCAAAAGCACTGATTATAATTGCGACTGGGTGATTCATATTAATTTTTACCGAGAAACCTCTCGGAGCAGTGCTCTGTGCGCCCGCGGTGCGCCGCCGCGCGCTGCGCCCTCGCCACGGCCCTCGCCCACTCGGTGCCGGAGGCCCGGCAGCTGTCCCGGCCCCGGCCGGCGCCGGCTCTCTCCGTCAAGCCCAGCTGAGCGGGCCTGGCGGGCCCCCAGTCTGCCTACGCCTCTGTAGCGCCTTTTTCCATGCACTCTCCCGGG